AGTGCCAAAGCCAGAATTCTAGCCGAGGGTGTGTGTCTGCAAGGCCCACAGTCTCAGGGCCTACACTACCCCGCCTCTTCCCACAGGCTCCCTTGAGGGGTAAGCAGCACCAGAGTCAAAGGTGCCAGTCCCTCCACTGAGCTGACCACCACTCCATGGGCTGAACCCAGCCTCTCAGCCTTCCTCTCCCTGCCCTAGTGGGGAGCTGCAGGCCACAGGAGCCCCTGCCTCTCTCCCTCATCCTCATAGTGAACACGCTGCCTGCAAGTGGGTGTGCAGAGGGGCGGTAACGAGCGTGCTCTGGGTGGCTGTAGCCACGCGTTTCAACAGTTGTTCTCATTGGCTTTTGATTCCAAATGAGTAGGAAATGCTATTAGTTCAGGCCTCGCCTGCCGCATGGCAAGGCCCTGGAATAGGAGTGCAGTGAGACGAGAAATTGTGGAGATAAAACTGGTGTGAAATGGAGGCCTTCTCACAAGGCTGGATGTGTCCGTGCGAAATGAAGTTACTTCTGAGAAAACGAGATTTAAAGAGATTCTGCAGAATTAGATTACACTTTCAAATTTCCTTATTAAAGAGGATTGATGCCTAGGAGGGGCTGCTGGTAGGCTTGGTTTGGGATCCTACTCTGCAGTTCCCAGGCCTGGGGGTGGGCCCAGGCGGGCAAAGCACCTTACAGGTGACAGGGACTCAGACCCCCAGGACCCAGAGAGTGAGTCTCCCCACCTCCAGCAGCTGAAGTAGGCATGAGGATTGTGGGACTGAACTTCTGGGTAATGTCTGATGTTGCACGTGGGTCCATGAGGGTAACAATAAGGGTTCATGCTCTTCCAATTCCTTCCATCTTCAGGTCTCTTACTTGTGGGTTTTGTTGAAATCAGAGCTTGATTCTAAGGGCTGTTCCACTTTTTAACACTGTAGTCTTAGAGACTAAACGTGCATGCAGCTGCTTGTGCATATGTGTGCATCTGTGCATAAGTGTATATTTACATGAGTGCACCCAAAAGTGTGCTCATACACACACATGCATGTGTGTGCTTAGACGCATGGGTATGTATTTTCATGCAACTTACTGAGCACCTACTGTATGCCAGCACTGTGCTGGGAACTGAAATAAAACTGTTGTGGGGAGAATAAAACAGATACAGTCCCTCCTCACATGGACCTAGTGTATGTGTGTGATCACGTGGACATGGGGAAGTATTTGTGTGCTGCTGTGCATGTGTCCTGCAGCTGTGTGGTGAGCATCTGCATGCTTTTCATGTGTCTCCTAATCTCTGTGAAGTCTCCTGCTTGGGTCTCAGACCCCCTCAGCATGCAGCCCTGCAGCACAGCTCCCCTCAGCATGCGGCCCTGCAGCACAGCTCCCCTCATCATGCGGCCCTGCAGCACAGCACCCTCAGCATGCGGCCCTGCAGCACAGCTCCCTCATCATCACGGCCCCTGCAGCACAGCACCCTCAGCATGCGGCCCTGCAGCACAGCCCCACCCGCCCCGGCATGCGCGTGATCCCTGCCCGCACAGCCACCCCGGCACGCCGCCCTGCAGCACAGCCCCACCGCCCCGGCATGCGGCCCTGCAGCACAGCTCCCCACCCGGCACACGGCCTGCAGCACGCGGCCCTGCAGCACAGCACCCTCAGCATGCGGCCCTGCAGCACAGCCCCCCTCAGCATGCGGCCCTGCAGCACAGCACAGGAGTCAAGTACTTGGGCCCTAGTGATAGACTGCCAGGGTTCACAGGCCAGCTCTTTCTCCTACTAACTGTGATCAGTTAGCAAGCTTTCTTGTGCCCCAGTTTTCCCATTGTGAAATGGGGGTCATAATGGTTGTGGGTACAGCTCTTGGAGGCAGAGCACTGGGAGGTGCTCAGTCACTGTCATCTCCCTGCAGGTTGCCCAGTGCAGGCTCCCTGCTGGCCCCAGAGGAGGGCTCGGGTACCCACGGTGAGAAAGGGAAGCCCCAAAGCTGCAGTAGCAGCTGTGTTGTGCTGGCTGTGTGAGCTCTGGAGATGGCCTGCAGCTCAGTCTCCCCAGCCCAGGCCAGAGAATGCCTGGCTGCTGGTTTGGAACCAGTATCGAGGCTTGTTGAGAGATTATGAGAAATACCAAGGGCCATGCACAGTGATTCACACCTGTAACCCCAGCACTTTGGAAAGTTGAGGTGGGAGAATTGCTTGAGCCCAGGAGTTCGAGACCAGCCTGGGCAACATAGTTGAGACCCTGTCTCTAAAAATAAAATAAAATAAAATAAATTCCTCCCCCAAAAATTTAGCCTGGCTTGGTGATATGTGCCTGTGATCCCACCAACACAGGAGGCTGAGGTAGGAGGATCTCTTCAGCCGGGAGGTTGAGGCTACAGTGAGCTGTGACCACATCACTACACTCCAGCATAGAGATAGAGGAAGACCCTGTCTCAAAAAATAAAAAAGGCTACGCCTGCCTCCAGGGCTCTTTCCAGAGCAGCCAGAGGGTCCTGCCCTGGAGCTGTCACCCTCTGCATGGCCACAGCAACTGCTTCCCACACGGCTGGTCACTGGAACAGCCTGTTGGACAGATACGGTGGCTTCCTTCTACATATACTTGCACTGACCACTAGACTGGCCTTTGAGTGGAGCTGGACTATGGCCAGTGCCAGGGTGACTTCAACCACAGTAGAACAATCAAATCAGTTCGTTGCTCCTCAAAATAAGTGTCTCTCACTATCCTGTCCCATATATTGAGGAGGGTGACACTAATCAGAGTTCACATTTTACTGTGGCCTTAGGCCTTAGCACATCACATAAATTAACTCCGTTCTTCCTCATGATTACTCTGAAATGAGTACTCTTTTCATACCCATTTTACAAAAAAGAAAATTGAGAAAATGTGAATTAAGGTCACACAGTCAAAAGTGTCAGACAAACCCACATTGGGAGATATTCCATGAAATGACTGGCCTGTACTCTTCAAAAACGCCATTGTCTTGAAACACAAAAGAAAGGTTTAGGAATTCTTCCAGATGTAAGTAGACTAAACTTGACAACTGAATGCGATGCAGGGCCCAGGATTTTTCCATAAAAGTATTTTTGAAGAAATTGGTAAAATCTGAATGAGGTCTATAGATTAGATAATAATATTATGCCAATGATAATTTTCTGGTTTCAATTATTGCACTGTGGTTATATAAGAGAATGTCCTTATTTTCAGTAAAGCATTTGTAAACCAGAAGTATTAGGGGATATAGAGGCTTCCTGTTTGAAACCAACTCTCAAATGATTTAGGGAAAAATTATAGGTAAGTTGGTAGGAGTAGGTAGAAAGATGGTGGATAAATCAAATGTGGTAAAATGTTATATACAGGGAATCTGGGTGAAGGGTTTACAGGTTATTTTTTCTACTATTTTCTAATATTTCTAATATTTTCTAATATTTTTCTACTATTCTTGCAAGTGTCAAAATTATGTCAAGAGAGAAAATGTTAAAAGAAAAAGAAAGCAAGTGCTGAGCAGGGATGGTATCCTGGGGTGAGTGTTAATACTATCAGTTCCTGTTCACTGTGCCCTGGGCACCAGACTCTGTGCTATGGCCTCGTGTGCATAACCTCATTCTATCCTCACCACATTCTGAGCGGAAAGAGACCATTGTGGCCCCCAGTACACACATGCCAGTCAGAAAGGTGGGAGGATTTAATCCAGGTCCCCCAGCTCCTTGGAGCAGTTCCCAGACTTGAAACTAGGCTCTCTGATTTCAAGGTCTGAACTCTTAGCCTCAGTCCCGCTCTTGACTCTGACCTTTTGGGGACAGTGGGCATGGGAAGGACAAAGGCATTTGTTCCTGGAGTGGTACAGAGTGAAGGCCCTGGGACACAAGCAAAGAAGATCTATTTGCTGGAGGGAGAGGAGCTGTGTTCCAGGATCCTGCAGGGAGCAGAGCCAGCAGTGCCAAGCAGGACACACTGGCGTGTGGGAGGGGCTACAGATGCTCAGTGGAGTTGCCAGGGTGTGGCTACAGTGGCTCCCAGCAGGAGAGCCACAGGAAAGAGCCTGGAGTGACCTGGGACTGGGTGAGGTAGATGTTCTGGGCTGGAAGACTGGCCTTGGAGGAGCTCACTGGGGTAGGTGTCCCCCCAGGGTGCCGTCCAAACCAGAGGCACTGGTAGTACTGGAACCTGTGGGCTTGGCAGTTTCAGAAAGTCCACGTGCTGGAGCTGAGGGGCAACTGGGCTGGGACAGGTGGGCAGGAGTTGCTGGGGACTTGGGTCTGGCCTAGTGGACTACTCTGGGGTCCATGTGAAGATGAGGGCATTTCACCTCCCTGCTGGAGGAAGAGAGTGGGAGGGGCAGGATGACCTCTGGCAGTCCCTCCTCGTCACCTGGACTGTCTGGCTTTCCCCCAGATTAAAGAGCGGAGGGTGAGTGTCTGGCAGCCAGATGAGTCAGACTGAGAGGCTTCTCTCCGAGCCTGGCTGCCTCCTTCCACCAGCAGCCCTGCCTCCACCCCCTGCTAGAAGTAGGGGTTGGAGTTCACCTGTTTCCCCTCCAATGTCGTTCCCCCCATGTCCTGAGACTTAGGGGTGACCCTGGGTTGAGTGGACTCGTTTATTCTGTTGGGCCCAGCGCATGCATCTGAGTGTGTGCCCAGGCGTGCGTGTCGGCGCAAGCATCATCCGTTGTAAAGTATCAGTGTTTTCATGGGTGAGTAGTAATTACTGGGTAATGCTTTAAAACCTTTCCTGAAGGAGCGCAAAGCCGTTTTTTTCTAAACTCAGGAGTACATTAAAAGGATTACCATGTAGATTTGATTTTTAGATAACACTAAAATGGATCCCAAATGGACTTCAGCAAAGGGATGCTATCTCCTTAATGGAAAGTGCATGGCCCGAGGCTCAGGTCCCAGAGCCAGGCTGGGGAAGGAGGGAGGGAAGAGGTGTCTGCAGAGGGGCAAGCTGGCGGATTGGGTGGGGGGCTAGGTGGGAATGGGGGAGGCAGAGCAGGAGGGAGGGCCCTGACCCTGTGGGGAGCTGATCCCTCCATCTGGGGAACAGGAGACTGCAGAGCCCCTCCTGAAAGCCCTTCCACCTTTCCAGGAGTGTTTTCAAGTCTCCTGGATCAGCCTGGTGAGAGCAGACACAGCATGGATGCCCCATGAGGAAGGAAGGCTGTCTCCACTGTTTTGTTTGACCCCCCAGAGCTCTTCCACTCTCCTGTGAGAAGCAAGGGATTGCTTCACTTTTTCTTACAGGCAGATGAAGGAAGTTAGGCCCAGAGAGACCAGGGGATATGCTCTGGACCCCGTAGCCAGAGGACTACAGACCTGGAGTCTGGTCCCAGGCCCATCCCACGGTGCTGTCCTGGCTCAGGCTTCCCCCAGGATGCCAGCCTTTCTTGCCAGGAGGTCTCTAGACCCAAGGGTCTCTAGATGCTCTGGGGCCTCCTCGGTACACTTTGGCAGAAGCTGTGTGGCTTCTGTAAGAGTTTTCCAGAGCCAGGAATCAGTTCAGCATCCCGGAAGAGGGGTGTCCAGGTCTTAAGGTAACCTGCCTGTGCAGAGGCGGCCTGGGCACAGGCAGCAGGGAGGGGGACTTGTGGCAGCTGGTAGCTGCACCCCTCATGGCTTCCACAGGGCCCTGTAGGTGCCAGATCCCTCCAGTGGAGAGACTGTCGACTAGTGCTGGAGTTCTCAGCCCTGCAGGAGCCAGGACAAACATGCTAGGGTCTGAGCTTGGAAGACCAGCCTGTCTAAGAGCCAGGGTAGATGGAAGAGAGAGTGGGACAGCTGCTTCAAGTGCTGGGCTCTCTCACTGTCTCCCTTCATGCTGGGCTATAGTTTCGTGGGCTAGGGTCTCCCCTGAGTACAGAGGTTCCAGCCATTCACCCATGTTCTGGTAATAGCCCAAATATAGAGTCCTGGGAGGGGCTCAGGACCGCTGGGAAGGGAGCCAGGCCTGCCATGAGCCTGGCTGAGCAAAAGGAATGTGAGCCTTGTAGGGGCTGTAGTGGGGGCCTGGCCCAAGATCTTCCCAGTCGGTTTTTGAATGCATAGCTCTGTTGGCTGCACGCTCCCTGCACAGGGCCTAGGGACAAAGGTCCTGCCCATGGAGCCCTACCCTGGTCCAGGTCCTACCCTGGGAGGCCCTCATTTCCCCATCCAGCTATTTTAACTCCTCCCCCATGTCCCCACACCTCCCTGTAGGCCAGGACTTGGAAGGAGCCTTGCAAACCCCTTCAGTTCTCAGGGGTACCTGCTCCCCAGCTGCCCTCCTTCGGCTCTTTCAGAGCTCTGTGCCAGCTGGGCCCTGCTGGAAGAGACACAAGCAGGCCCGAGGACAGAGTCATCCTGTGCCCCATCCCTCTCTCAGACCAATTAACCTTTAGAACTGCATTAAGGAAATTAGGCAGCAAACTCCCCAGCTAACAGACAGGCCCTGCGGGGACTGGACGGAGGAGGAGGAGGAGGGAGCCCACTGGCCCTGCGCACTGCAGCCTGTGGGTGAGTGCCCGCTCCCCAGCCTCACCTGTCCAGGAGAAGTCTGAGGAGCCAGCTGGGCTGACAGTGAGCACAGGAGAGGGGAAGAAGTCCTGGGGCCAGCTTGACGGTGGCTGACTCAATGCCCTGTAACTGTCTGAGCCTTAGGTTCCCCATCTGTAGAATGAGAGCATTTAACTGGAAGAACTCTGAGGGCTCTTCTGACCTTACATCTGTGGATTCTGAGACCAAGGCCTCTTGTGGCTGGTCCTCCCCTGATGCCCAAGGAGGGGGGAAGCAAAAGGAAGGGAAGCAGCCTAACCGTTCAGACTCTGGGTTGGGGGCAGTGAGGAGGGCTGGGAATGGGAGGGACACCAGGGGATGGGAGGAAGGCCAGAGCCCTGCAGAGAGCAGGAACCCTTTGGAGAGGACAGGGCCAGTAGAAGGACTGACTCCAGGGGAGTGTTGGAAAGCTGGGGAGGTGAGGAGGGATGGGCCCCTATCCAGCCTGCACCTTGGTCAGGAGCAGAGCATGCACACCCTCCCTGTCTTCACAAGGATTCTCAGGCAACTCCCACAGGCCTGTAAAGTCACAGAGCAGGGCTTCTGAGGTCCTCTCCACTTCCCTCCCAGTCTCACAGGTCCACATGGATGTCCAGGCTACTGGACGACATCTGTCCCCATCTCCTCCTCAACTGTCCCTGTGGTCCCAGGAGAAGGGAATAGGAATCCATGCCTCTGTCACTTCATGCCCACACCTGCACATCGTGCCTGTGTGTGAGGGGTGTGCGCGAGCACACACGCTTACCTGCTGCGATGGAGGCTCCGCTCTGTGGTGAACATCATGTTGGGCCCTTTGTACTTGGTGCCTGTGTGTATGTTGGGAAGCCGGTATGGGTGCTGGGAGGTGCTGATGGCTGAGAGATCCTAATCCTGGCAGAATGAGGAAGGATCCAGAGGCTCAGAGCCTGCCCTCCCCCAGGCCAGGGCAGGTGAGGTATGAAGCATTCCCAAGGAGAGCCCCAGCCAGGCCCTGCCAGCTGCCCCTTCTTACCTGCCAGGAGCCCCAGAGCCTCTGCTCCCTCCTGGGAGTGTCCCAAGAGTGTCTCACTTCCTTCTTGATGCCTTCACAGCTCTACATGGATAGACCAAGAGGCTGTAGCATTTCAGCTGGAGAAACATGAGTTGGCAAAAAGATCTGGGGGTTCTAGAGGATCTCATGGGCCTGAGGAGACTACATTTCTTAGGCTTATTGCTGAAAGAGCCATTGTGATGGTGGCTTCACATGGCGAGCTTCAGGCTTCTCCGGGCGATACCGCACAGGGGACAGAGGCCAGGGTGGGGAAGAACAGCTCAGGGAGGCTAGGCCTGGGGTCTGTGCGTGCCTTGGAGCAGAGCAGCCTCTGGAGGGACCTTCACAGGGCCAGGGAAACAGGCTGTGCCACGCAGCCCAAAGGGCAGGACCCAGAGCCAGGGAAAGAGGTTACTGGGGAGAAAGTGAGGGCTCCTGGGAGCCCCAAACCTAGAGGGGGCAGCAGAGAGAAGCAGTGAACTCCCCATTCTTGGGGGATATTCCTTGACGCCCAGAGCTACAGGGCCCATCCTGCGTTCCTGTCTGTCTGTCCGTCTGCAGGCGTGCCGATGCTCTCCGTTCAGCCCAAAGGGAAGCAGAAGGGTTGCGCGGGCTGTAACCGCAAGATCAAGGACCGCTATCTGCTGAAGGCATTGGACAAGTACTGGCACGAAGACTGCCTCAAGTGTGCCTGCTGTGACTGTCGCCTGGGCGAGGTGGGCTCCACCCTCTACACCAAGGCCAACCTCATCCTGTGCCGACGCGACTACCTGAGGTGGGCTGCCGACCCCTGGCCTCGCAAGCCCTTGTCCTGATCAGAAAGCCCCCCATCCTCAGCCCTAGTGTTACTGTGCCCCGGCCCTAGACCCAGTACCCTGTGTGCCCCCCCATTCTTGACCGTCCTGCCCCTGCCCTGATTGCCCCAGATACCTGAGGGAAGGCCCAGGTCTTTATGCCCTTGGACTCAGTGCTCAGCACAGGTTCAGGGCAGGCATTTGTAACCTGGGGCTCCTAAGTTAAGCTTTCCGAGGGCCCCAGCTTTGCTCCCCACCACCACCCCCCACCCCCTGCCTTGGCCAGGTGCTTCTGACCCACCTGATCTGGAATCTGGGAGGGGATACTTCAGAGGGGCTTTGAGAACAGGTGTGGAAGCTTTGACCTCCCCGGGCCCCTCCTCCCTAATGCAGTCTTCTTCCCTGTCCCAGTGCCCAACTTTCCTTTCCAGGTGGTCCTTGGGAGCAGGCGTCCATTTGCCCAGGGAAACTGGCAGGCAGCCATATCCTAGGAGCAGGGCCACTGATGCTGGAGCTTCAAGACCTGGGTCGGAACTAGCTCTGAGTCTGTGGCTCCTAATCTTCTCCTAGCCTCAGTTTATTTCCCTGTGAAGGGTGAAAGAACAATGCTTCCCTGCCTTGCATTCCTCTGAGCTCTAACTCACCCTCCCTACAACCTGGATCCTATTCCCTGGGGCTGCCTCCCCCAGTTAACCCTCCCTGAGGCCATTTACGACATCAGCAAGGCTGGAAGGAGGCCACAAAGCAGGGCCTTGGCTGAGACCCAGCACCTGCATTTGGCTCTGTCGCAGGCTGCTGGATGGTGGCCGGGCTTGTGGGGAAGGAGGGCTCATCACATTCATTAACAGGTCAGGGCAAAGGCTTCATGGGGCTCCCTCTGCCTAGGTCTGGGCATGTTGCAAGGGGGAGGTTATCAGTGGAAGCTCCCCCACTTCCCCAAAGATTCTTTGACTGACCTGCCTGCACCTTCTCTCTTAACACCTGCATTTAAAAGTGATGTAGTAAAACAGAATCTGTGACTCAATGCTCCTTGCCAGGGCCGGAGGGGAGAGGCTGAGGCCAGGAGCAGGGGTTAAGGAAGAATGTTCAGACTAGGCATGGTGGCTCATGCCTATAATTCCAGCACTTTGGGAGGCCAAGGCAGGCAGATCGCTCCAGTTCAGGAGTTCGAGACCAACCCTGGACAACACGGTAAAACCCTGTTTCTACAAAAAAAAAAAAAAAAAAAGAGCCAGGTGTAGTGGCTGCACGCCTGTAGTCCCAGCTACTCAGGAGGCTGAAGTGGAAGGATTGCTTGAGCCCAGGAGTTTGAGGCTGCAGTGAGCTGTGATCGTGCCGCTGCACTCCAGCTTAGGTGACAGCAAGACCCTGTCTCAAAAAAGAAAAGAATGTTCCTGGGGATTCACCCCTTGAGGACCTAGAAGGGGCCTCCATGTCTGGAGGTTTAGGGCATCACCTGGGGGCTGAGCCTACCAGGTTAGGACAACATGGCAGACCAGCTGATGGGTCCACTTGACTTGGAGAGAGAGGCCCACAGTGCAGAATGGGCTTATCAGGAAAAAGCACCCACAAGCATACAGGGCCTTCCAGCTACTAGGGATGGAAGGTAATTTTTTTTTCTTCTGGCAGAGGTAAGGAATGACTGTAGGACCAGCTAGACCAGTGGGCTGGGATGGGAGCGTGGCTTCCTTGAGCTGCTCAGGCCAGGAGAATGGCTGTCCAGAGCCTGCGCCCTCTGCAGCAACTGTTCCTGGGCTGATGGCAAGAAAAGCCCCTCTTGGCAGGCAGATGCTGTGGCCCAGCCTTTGTCTGCCTTAATCTGAGCCACCAGGCAGCTCAAGCTGATGAATAATGGAGCCAAGCTCATCTGCAGGTGCCTCAGCTTGAGCTGGACAAATTGGGGATTAGAGGGGCCCCCCTCTTCTCAGCCTCCTTGCCTCACTTGGGGCTTGCTCTGTCTGTGTGTAGGAAAGAAGCAAGGAGGAGCTGGGATGGCTCAGACCTTTGGGACATCCAGCCGAGGGCTGGCCTGCATGGGGAGGGAGTAAACTCCCTGTCCCTAGAGCTTTACAGCCAGCAGATGAGAGGAGGGATGCCTGCCTCAAAGAGGCATTTGTGCCAGATGTCCTTGGTGCTTCCTTTGGGCATCAGTTCTGTTTTACAGCATCTTTGAATAGCATCATCCATCCCTATTTTACAGAAGGGTAAACTGAGGTTCAGAGAAAGGAAAAAAAAGGGACTTAGGCAAGTGAAACAGTGAGTTTGTGATGGAAAAGGATTTAATAAAACACTTTAATTTTGGCAAGACACAGTGGCTCACGCCTGTAGTCCCAGCACTTTGGGAGGCTGAGGCAGGAGGATCATTTGAGGCCAGGAGTTCGAGAACAGCCTGGCCAACATAGTTAGACCCCATCTGTATTTTTAAAAAATAGAATAATAAACACTGTAATGTCAAAGGTGGGAAAAGCACGTCACACAGTAGTTTAGAGCATGCCTTCTGGACCAACGCCCTGTGACTGTCCAAGTTGTTTCTCTGTGACTCATTTTTTAAATCTTTAAAATGGGGAATAACAATAGTACCACCTCCTAGGTTTGCTGTGAGGATTAAGAGTTAATCTTTGTAAAGTTCTTAGAATAGTGGCTGACACACAGTGAACCCTACCTAGGTGGTTGCTTACTGAATCGTGACTGAGAATTTACAACAGGTTTCACAACTACCCCGTGAAGGGTATGTTTCAGACTTTGTTTTATAGATGACTTAAATGAGGCTCAGAGAGACTCACTGACTTGCCTGAGGGCACACAACCCAAGATTCACATTCTGCCCCTGAAATTCAGGCTTGTGTGGTTCTGGATCCCTTGCTCAGGGCCCAGCCTAGGATTCTCTTGGTGGCTCTGGGGCTTGAGGACCCTTGTGGGAGCCTGGGAGGGAGTCTTGGGATAGGCAGTGACAGCCAACTCCTGACCCCCTACACACCCTCCCTGGAAGGGGATGTGCCGATTTCTTGGCAGCCTGATGTCAGGGCGGAATCTAAATGCTGCCCTTGGTGCTCTCATCCTATTGCATGAGCCCACCTGCCGAGCCCACAAGTTAAAGGATGGGAAGGACCCTGGATAGAGGCAACTCCTTTCCCCCTGCCCATCCAGCTCCCCAGAATGCTGTTGAGTCCTCTGCACCCTTCCCTCGGCAGGCTCTTTGGTACTACAGGGAACTGTGCTGCTTGCAGCAAGCTGATCCCAGCCTTCGAGATGGTGATGCGGGCCCGGGATAACGTGTATCACCTCGACTGCTTCGCCTGCCAGCTCTGCAACCAGAGGTCAGTGCTGGACTGGCAGACCCAACACACTCCCCAGACGCCAGTCTGAGGCCTGCTGGGATGGGCCAGGAGCACAGTGGAGGCGTGCAAGCAAATGCAGGTCGCATGTGTGTATGTGGTGGTGCGTGCAGGTTATGAGCGTGCATGTGCTTTATGTGTTTTGTGTGTAAGCTTGGTAGCCAAATGTGTGCACTTTAATACTGGGTGTGCACATCTGTGTGGCACATTTCTGTGTGAATATAATGAAGGTGTGCATGAGTTTACTGTGTATGCATAGCGAGTGTGCATGTGCATGCATGTGTATTTGTAAATGTCATGTGCAAGTGGGCACATATGCATGATGGAATTAATATGCATTTGTACATGTGTTTTTAAATGGGGGTATATGTGTATGTGCAATGTGTGTGCATGATGAGGTGAGTATGCGTGTGCATACATGTTTTATTTTATTTTTTGAGATACAATCTCACTCTGTTGCCCATGCTGGGGTGCAGTGGCGTGATCTCACAATCTTGGCTTACGGCAACCTCTGCCTCCCGGGTTCAAGTGATTCTCCTGCCTCAACCTCCCAAGTAGCTGGGACTACAGGCGTGTGCCATGACACCTGGCTAATTTTTCTTTTCTTTTCTTTTCTTTTTTTCTTTTTTTTTTTTTTTTTTGTATTTTTAGTAGAAATGGGGTTTTACCATGTTGGCCAGGCTGGTCTTGAACTCCTGATCTCAGGTTATCCGCCCACCTCTGCCTCCCAGATTGCTGAGATTACAGGTGTGAGCCACCGAGCCCAGTCTGTATATGTGTTTGAAATGTGCACGTGCATGGGATGACGTATCCTCCCACCCCCATACCCAGTGTGTAGTATGTGTATGTGTGTGCGCACGTACGTTCCAGTGAGAAGGGGTTCCCAAATCTAGAGGGCAAAGTCCCCTTAGGGAGTGGCCACTCTCTCCTCACCCAACCCTTGTGATTCTGGTTCCAGCCCAGCCTCTTTTCTGGTCTCTTGGCCCCAACTCTGTGCCCTAAGCCCTGTGGGAGTCCCTGGGGACCTAAGGAGCCAGAGCCCTTTAGTTCTGGCTGGGGCCTAGCACCAGAAGGCAGGCGCTTTTCTCAGGGGCCCCCAGGTCAGGTACGAACGCATACAAGTGCTCCCTGAAGTGAGGTTCAGAGGGACCTACAGGGCACGCTGGTCTGGCTGGGGGCTCTGGTCAGACCTGGTGCTAGGAGGGCTCAGTGAACTTACAGCGCCACCTGGTGGTGCGACTGGAATCTGCTGGAACTAGGCCAGCGATCCTTGGGGTCTCACTAAAGGCTTCACCCACCCTGGGGACATCTTTAGGGAAAGGACTGGAATCTTCCATTACTTGGGGAGGACTAGGAGACCAACGAAGGATCTTCCTTGGGTAGGAAAGGAGATACTGGAACAGGGTCATCTCCTAGAAGGATGCTTTAGGTAACCTACCGATTTTGTTTAGAGGAAGAATGAATGCCCTGTACTGAGCCATCCTCTTAAATTGGGGAGAGGGATAGAGGGATGGTAAAAACAACCATTTTATCCCTCCCTCCTTACCCATCTCTGCCCTTCTTTTTTTTTTTTTTTTTTTTTGAGACTGAGTCTTACTCTGTTGCCCAGGTTGGAGTGCAGTGGTGTGATCTCGGGTCACTGCAACCTCTGCCTCCCAGGTTCAAGCAATTCTTTGCCTCAGTCTCCCAAGTAGCTGGGATTAGAGACGCCCAGCACCATGACCAGCTACAGTTTTTTTGTATTTTTAGTAGAGATGGGGTTTCACCACCTTGGCCAGGCTGGTCTTGAACTCCTGACCTTGTGATCCACCCACCTCAGCCTCCCAAAGTGTTGGGATTACAGGCATGAGCCACTGTGCCCGGCTCCATTTCTGCCTTTCTCCATCTGTCTCCCTCTTTGGTCTTTTTCTGTTTGTCCTTTCCCTTTCTCCCTCTCTGGGACTGGGGTAGGCTGTTCCTGCACCTCTCCACCAACCTCCCTAATCCTACACTCACCTCCACAGGAGACCTGACTGTGGAAGCCTGTGGCCCAACTGTCTGTCTGTCCTACCACTCCAGGCTACAGGGCCTGGCCAAGGTTGGGGCTGGCCTGGGGGAATTGCCCAGGTGTGCTGTGGGGACTTTAGGCAGTCCCCTATGGAAGGTTCGAGGAACAAACTTCCCCCACCACCTCCCACACAGCCCACCTCCTAGGCCAGGCCGGGTTCTGTCTGCAGCACCCCCTTACCCACTGGGATCTTTCCATGGCTTTTCTCTCTTGCTTGGATTTTCTAGATTTTGTGTGGGAGACAAATTCTTCCTGAAGAACAACATGATCTTGTGTCAGATGGACTATGAGGAGGGGCAGCTCAATGGCACCTTTGAATCCCAAGTTCAGTAACACCCGGCGCCTGGCCTCCAGGCCCGTCTGTCCATCTGCCCGCCTGCCCACCCGCCTGGCCGGCCAGCCAGCCACTCTGCCAGTGCAGGCTGGCCAGCCACTCTCCTGCCACATTAGAACTTCTCCATCCTCGATGGGAGGGACGGCCCTTCCTCCTCCACCACCGCCCGTCTGTGTATGACCCCTCCTGGGGCCAGGCTGGGCCTGTACAGTCTGTCTTCTGTATATAAATGGGAACATTTATTTTATGAGAAATGTAATGCGATTTTATTACTGGCGTGGATTAAACTTATGAATGTTTCCGGGAGGTTACTCTGCGTTGTTCACATGACTGACACAGACCTGGGGCCCCTCCCCTCTGCCTCTCAAGGGCAGAGCACAGAGCAGGGTGGGGGTCTCCGGCACGTGCTGTGTTGCCGGGCAGGGGAGCAACAGGCTGGCTTTAGGGGAAGAAGCTGGGAGGAACGAGACAACTCAGAGACCCCAGCTCCAGCCAGAGGTGAGACCCGAGGCATCTTCCCTCTGGGAGAGCACACACTCTGGCCCTGAGTATGTCCCCAAGAAAAGGGGCAAGATGAAGCCTTCCCTACCCTGTGTTCCATCCCCTCTGTTGAGACCCCCGACTGAGGGCACAGATGGAGACCCAGCTCTGACCTTTTCCCCAGTAGGACCACAAATCTTGTGTCCTCTGCCATGGGAGCACCATGCTGAAACCTCTCTTCGCTTTTAGGGTGACAGACAGTACTTGTTGTCTCTGCGAGCAGCTGGGGCCCAGCTTTCTGCTCTTCTGAATGAGCAAGAAAAATCCTGTTTCCTTTTGACTCAGCCCATGCAGTCTGGAGGCATCCATTTATTCAGTCAGCAAACCTCAACAAACTCCATGTCTCAATCCCATGCTGCAACCGGGGGTGTCCTGGAGCAAATCAGATGTGAGAATGAATCATAGATCAGACACTGTCCCTGCCCTCGGGGAGCTTGCTGTGGGGGTGGAAAGTGGAAGGCATGTTGCGGGGAAAGCCAGGAAAACAAAGCACATCATTGTGAGGACAGAATGCTGTGCGGAGACCTGGGACAGGCCAGTTCCCTCTGCGGGACACAAGGCCACTTGTGATGACTTAAGAGAGTCATGGATGGACAAGTCAATGCACATATGGTCAGACAGATATGTGCTGCAGGCGGGAAGGATGGACACACAAGTAGACAAGTGTGTAGGCAGAGACAGGCAGGAGAGGTGGAGGTGGGCAAGCCCCATCACTCACCTCCAGCCACAGCTGCAGCAGACAGGCAGGCATCAGGGCGTTTTCCACCTCCCCCGCTGAGCTAGATTCGCTCAAGGCAGCAGGGGTGCTGTCTCGGTCTTGGCTGCAGCCACAGTGCCAAGCACAGAGTCTGGAACCGTAAAGGTACCTTCTCACTGGGCAATATTAAAAAGAGAGGCTTCTTGAGTCCCCAGCCTAGACAGAAATAGCTGCACAGACAGGCTCCCTCACTATCAGGCCGCTCCCTTCTCCTTCCCAGGGGCTATTTTCACCCTAGCCATAGCCCAGAGCCCAGGGCACATGGAGCCAGACTACTGCCTCAAGCCCTGCCTGCTCCTGGGCAGGGAATGGGCTGGGCTGGGCTGGGCTGGGCTGGGCTAGGCTAGGCTGGATTCCCACCTCACCCTCCCCAGGCCTACTCCTCCACTTGAAAGTGAAAAGATGGCGGGGCCCTCCTGGGGGCTTGCAGGAGGCTACCTCTCCAAGTTGTGGTTTCGTGGTCACTGGCCCAGTTTGTGAAAAGGGATTGCTAGAGTCGAGGATCCTGGGGCAGGAGTTCTCAACTTTGGGGGCATCCGGTTTCTGTGAAGGAGCTGCACCCTGTATGTGTGAGAAGAGAGGCGCAGGCCGCTGGATCTGGCTGCAGTGGGTGTTTGTGTGAGCCATGGGTTCAAGGGGATGGTGAAACTGGGAGTTGTCTGTATGTGAGCACATGGGATTGTGAAGGAGTTTGAGGAGAGACACAGAAGGCTGGAGTTTATAATGAGGACTTTTCTTGCTCAACATGAAAAAGCAAATGATTTTCCTGCATTGTAGCAGAGTCCGCAGTGCCAGATTCTCCCTGGACCCTTAGGTCTAGGATGGCTGTGCCCAACCCAAGGGCCCCAACTCTTACTTCGAGTTTGCTGGAGATAAAGTTATAACACAAGTTAATTACATGGTTATCGAGAGATAACGGAGCCAGTTGAATGCAGTTTCTGGGCAATTACAATTGTTTCCAACAGAGTTACCATATTGCAGCCATGAAATAACATGTCATTTTGCAGTAATTATGTAATTAACTTGTCTCACCACTCTAGGTTGCACAACAATTAATTCACTCACAATGAGATAGAGTCAAACTCAGGCAGGCAGGGTTTGCAAGTCCCCAAGAACAGAGCTGGCCTTCTAAGAAGACCCCAGCCCCATCCTGCCCACCCCAGACCTTGTCAACGGACTTCCCCAGCTCAACATGGTATGGAATTTGCCAAGTCTGGCATCATGGACCCAGTTATTGCTCTCTCACCGTCTCATCTGGGAAATGGGGATGATCTGATTCCCACGTCAGCCACGGGCCCCAGATCTACACTGTGAAGTGCTGTGGTTACATGAGCTACAGTCAGCATTGTGGACATCATGAGATCCTCAGTAGGAGACCCTCACCCAGAAAGTCCAGTATCAGGCCACAGATATCCCACATGGGCCTCATCTTAGCAAGTGTGAAACTGGTAAGAGGGTAGGGAGGAAGCAGAGAGAGACCAAGCTCATTCTGTAACAGAGCAACTGGGATAGCAGGAATGGCTACCAAGGTCTGGGGATTATGCACCTGGAGAGAATTCACAACACCCAGGAACACCCAAGGGTGACACAGGAGAAGCCTGAATTCCTCCCCCATCACTGCAAAGGAGAAACTTGGTTAAGTGTAGGGCATGAATTGTGTGGACTTGGCTCTCCTTGGGGGTTGCACCCACCACAGATGATTGGTGCAGGGAGGGAGAGCTGAGTGTGAACTGTTAGAGGCTGCAGCAGCTCACATCTCAGCCTGGGGCGTGTGGGCGGTGGGGAATGTGGGCCACCATTGAACCACAGCTGTGCACAAATCTCCCTTTCCTCCAGCCAGATCTTGGGATCTCATCCCCTCTCCCTGCCTTCCTTGGTGGCCTGGGGAAGAGATACCCTAACAGGGAGCCTGAGCCCATGAAATATGGCACCTGCTTATGCTCCCACTCCTTGGCCTGAAGCTGGACTGCGCAGCCCATGTTTGGAAAGAAGTTTGATTCCAATCTTAACACTGCTGCAGAGCCCATTATGAAATCTCCTATGAATCCTGTCTCCTCCTGGGCCTGCTCCCAGAAACCTTCCCCCACATCATGAGACATGCGGAGGCCACAGGCACAATCCACATGACATTCCTGCCTGGGAGATCTCATCTCTACAAGGAGACAATTGCTCTTTCCCTTAAAGCTGTCAGAGACCATTCATGGCCAGGATTTTTATTCTAGGGCAGCGTCCTTCTCCTTCATGACTCAAGACTTCCAGTGGGTGCTGCCTAGACCCCAGCTGTCTGAGCTTATGTGCTCTGAGCCCAGGACAAACAGCCAGGTCCTCGGACTATCCCCCTGGCACTGGGTTTTGCAGAGCTTATTGCCTTTGCCAAAAAAGCCTGGGCCCCTCAGAGGTTCCAGAGCCCATTGGCTGCCTGTGGCACCTGGGCTGGGGTCTGTGCCTCCGTGGTCCCCATGCCTTCTCCGGGACACCACATTCCAGAGAGGAGCTGGTTCAGGGGCTCCTGCCTGGGGCTTTCTTTGCAGACTTTTACCTCCTGGATCTGCTCTAGAAGCATAGTGAAGCCTGTTGATGTGGGGTACGGGATAGCTCTGGGGTTTCCTGAAGTTCCAGTAAGTCCAGTTTTGTCTTCCAGAGCTCAAAGGTGCTAGGGAACTGAGGCAGTTCTTGGGCCACATTTGTTGTTCTAATGGGTCTGCCTGCTGCACTGGGGGAACTGAAGGGCTCTCCTGACAAGGGGCCAGAGAGCTCCTCATGATTACCCGGGCCCCCTTTCTCCGGCTGCCACCCTGATCCCTGAGCCCCTGGCCCATCTGCCAGGTACTAGGTGGGATCAGGGATCAGCGACAGAGCACTGAGACACAGAGGGACAGAGGAAGAGATGAGAACGAATAGGTTGTGGCGCAGTGGAGGGAGAGAAAGAGAGATGGAAACAGAGAGGGGGAGATGGAAAGAAATGAGGCAGAGGGCAGGAGAGGAGACAGAGGGGGAGGGAATGGGAAAAGCATCCCAGAAGAAGTTTCTAACTTCAGGGAAGGTGTGAGGTGACAGCAGTGTGGAGGAAAGGGCAGCGTGGCATGATGGTTACATGCATAGGCCCAGGAGCCAGATGATGTGAGTGCAGAACCTAGCTCTCCACTTGGCAGCTGCACAGCCCGGGGCAGCTTGCTTAGCTTTCATCTTAGAGATTAGGCCTTTCCTCATCTGTAAAGGGGACTGATGATAGTGCCTGCACCTCAGGCTGCTCCCAGTGGTAGATGAGCCATCACATGGGAGGTGCTCACAGCTGCAGCAGCTCCTGGTAAACACCAGAACATGTAACTGCTGCTGGGAACCTTCCTTTATACAACCAGCACTAGGTCTGCTGGTTTGAGGCCTGGCTCACCGCAGCAGAGTCCTGCATCACAGGTGACTCCTGGGCATCTGAGAGCTCTCAGGAGAGGGGCACTGCGTGCTGGCACCAATGGGGGAAATCCAGCCCAGACAAGGCAGGCTTTCATAAAAACATGCCCAACCCACTTAAGCCTCTCAGCAACTCTCTTACAGTTGAATCATCCCCATTTTACAGTTGAAGAAACTAAGGCTCAAAGAACCATTCTAGTTAAATAATGTTCAATAGCATCTGGACTTGAATTGAGGCCTGGTCTGACTCAAGTCCATGTGAAACTGCCACCTAGAGGCCGCTCTGGGCAGTGGAAGGATCTGGGAGTCCAGAAGCAGATTTTATCCTCACTAAACCCCCAGATCCTCTCCCAGTCTGCATTCCCTTTTCTCTCTACAACTCATGCCCTAGCGAGGGCTTGGTGCACAGAGGGGAAGGGTCCTCGGACACTTATGTTCCTCACTGTACATCCTGCATGAGCATGTCACTGGGCCTGGCCTGTGCTGGCCACTGGGTGGGATGAACAATTCCAGATGCTGAGCAGAGGCAGTGCAGGCAGCCTGTCCCATGCCTGAACTGAAGGTTTATCAGTGGGACAGGCCCCAGTGCGTCATTACTCTGTCGGT